CCTGTTGGGGATCACCTAGTTCCTTCTCTTTCCTGCTTGTATTCCTCTCCATGGAGTGCTCACTGAAGGACAAAACTGGAGTTCCCTATAAAGAAACGATGGCCCGTAGTTCTTAAAGCTTTTCTGTTTATAACATTCTTCACTCTCTATTGTAATGGTCTTCAAATGTCTGACTTTCCCCTAGACCAGGATTGTTCAATGTCAGCACTGTTGCCATTGGGACTGGATAGCCCTTTGTGGTAGAGGCTGCCCTGTGTTGAGCAACATCTCTAGCATCTACACCCTGGATGCCAATAACACTTTCAGAGTTGTGACAACCAAAAATACCTCCAAGCATTGCCAAATATCCTGGGGGCAAAGTCACCTCAGGTTGAGATGCTTGTCTTAGGTTACTGTTTTCCACCCTTGCTGCACAATGGAATAACCTGGAGAGCTTTAGAAACTATTGCCAGTACTTGGCTCCATCTAGATCAACAAAACAAGACTGTCTGAGGGCGGGGTCCTGACACTTTTCAAAGTGTCCCAGGGAGTCTAGTGGGACTCAGGATGGAGAATCTCTGTCCCAGATTGTAAGCTCCAGGAAGGCAGGAAGATATCTTTCTTTTATGGTGGTATTTCTAGGACCTAACACAGTGATCCCTGAATGAATGAATGAATGAATCTGAAGAGAGGCAGAAAGAAGTGTCAGAAGTTAAAAGTGACATTAGGGAAAGCCAGATCACCACCTTTTTTTTTTCTATGGCCATGATTACCAACTGTTGGATAGACTCTTCCCATTTTCTTTCTTTTTGAGGAGGTGGGCATTTAATAGATTTTTTAAAAGTGAAGGGACTCAAATCAATGATTTGGAGCAGAAGGAATAGATAAACATTCAACTAGAACTGAATGAAGAAACAGGATTCAAAAAAAATGAGGAGAGGCTTAGGAACCTCTGGGACAACTTTAAATGTTCCAACATCTGAATCATAGGGGTGCCAGAAGGAAAGGAGAATGCGCAAGAAATTGAAAACTTATTTGATAAAAGAATGAAAGAGAACTTCCCCAATCTGGCCAAGGAAATAGACTTCCAGGAGATCCAGGAAGTGCAGAGTCCCAAAGAACACACACCAAGGCACATCATAATTACATTTCCCAAGATTAAAGATAAGGAGAGACTCTTAAGAGTGGCAAGAAAAAAGGAGACAGTTACCTACAAAGGAGTTCCCATAAGACTATCAGCTGATTTCTCAAAAGAAACCTTACAGGCAAGAAGGGGCTGGCAAGAAGTATTTGAAGTTGTGAAAGACAAGGACCTACAGCCAAGATTACTCCATCCAACAAAGATATAATTTAGAATGAAAGGGCATACAAGGTAAAGTTAAAGGAATTCACCATCACCAAGACCTTATTATATGAAATGTTAAAGGGATTTCTCTAAGAAAAAGAAGATCAAAAACTATGAACAGCACAATGACAACAAACTCACAACTATCAACAACTGAACCTAAAAACCAAAACCAAAACCAAAACTAACTAAGGAAACAACTAGAACAGGAACAGAATCACAAAAATGAACATCAGAGGGGAAGGGGGAGAACTGGAGAAAAGGTACAGAGAATAAGCAGCATAAATAGTAAGTACAAAATAGACGGGGAGGTTATGAATAGTATAGGAAATGGAGAAGCCAAAGAACTTATATGTACAACCCATGGACATGAACTAAGGGATGGGGGGAATAAAGGGGAGAAAAAATGGAACAACTGTAATAGCATAGTCAATCAAATATACATTAAAATTAAATTAAATTAAATTAAAAAATAAAAAGTGTTCCTTGAGTCTCTGCAGACACCCACAGAGGAAATGGGGTTGGGGAGTCTTGGCTGATTCCCTTAAGTTCTGCCAAAGGGGAGTTTTTCCACCTTTATCTGGATACTTAACTCATGTCTTTCTAATGGCTTCTGGTCTTGGCTGAGGATTTCTAAAATTCTGGCCATCTCTGCTGACCGCTCATCATCACCGTCAGCACCAACTGAGTGAATGGCCCAAGTGAGGGGGTGGCCACTGGAATCCTCAGCCTCAGCTCATGGGTTCATTGTAGGAATGTAGGCCCAGAGTTGGCCCATATCCTGGTTAATCAAGAAAAACAATTAACTTGGATTTTCAGGTGAAATCACCCCATTTGAAGCATAAGGTTAAATTTCTACAAGATATACTGTGTGAGCCACACAAAATACATATTCCGACCATGTCCTCTTACTGATACATAGTAGGTCCTCAATTTGTGTTTGTCTATTCCACTATTAGAAGGTGCCCACCTGTTGAGAAGCTCTGCTTTAAGCTTCTATTGACGTTGTCAAAGTGGGGACTTAGGAACAGGGTCTGGGAGAGATGGGACCACTAGCAGAAAGCAGAATCGTGGTCCTTGGTTGGCTCATCACTGTGGTTAGAATAACAGTGATGACCTTGTGAAATACAAACTGAACTGAAACCTTCTGGTTCAGGAATTAGAAGTAAGCAATGAAAGGATGTTTAAAAATTTGCCACTTAACAAACACCTGGATAGCAACTGCCATATACCAGGCCCTTTCCCAATTACTTTAATGTATCAAATCTCTTTATCCTGTAACAACCAAATGAGGCAGCTGCTAGTGTCACTTTATAGAAGAAACTGAGGCACAGAGAGGTTAAGTGATTGGTCAAAGTCACACAGCTGGTAAATGGCAGAGCCAGGATTTGAACTCAGGTGTCCTGGCTCCAGGATCTAAGCTCTCATCGTTTCTTTTTGCTGTATTTTAATAGGGAGAATTTTATCTAGTAAAAAAAATTATGGTTTATGGATTTGAAGACTATGTAGAATATGTAAAATTGGTTTATATATTAGTTTAAAATTAGTTGTCAAATTATGTGTGTGCTAAAAACAGTGTATACACACACACACACACACACACACACACGCACACAAAGAAAACCTAGAAGAAAACACAAAAATTATAAAAGTTATGCCAGATTGGTAAGTTTATGGATAAATTTTTTCCCTTCATCCCTCTTTCTGAATATAGCTTCCAGCTTGTGTCCAAGAGCACATGCAGTCTTATTTTTACAGAGTGGGTGTGTTTTACTTAAGGGACATGGCCCTGAAGAACTCTTGAACTCCCGTTATTCACAACTCACCTAATTCAAGACTTGATCCAACAAATGATGGGATATAGTTCTGTTCACCAGCTAATACAGCGGCCCTATGTGACAACAGCATAAATCCACTTAAAATTAGCCCACTAGATATGAAACTATTCAATTTTTAGGTCTTTTTGAATTAAAATGATTTATGTTGTTTCCATTTTGCACATAATCTGAGACTTTATTAATACTTTCTTCTTTTATTGAATTATTAATACTCTTGAATGGATCACTATTTCAAATTCACTCCGTTCTCGCATAATGGGACTCTAGTCCTCATTGCTTGCTTCATGTTGATAGATTTCCAGGCCTTGAGAAATAGAAGGATTGCAAAGGACACAGCTTAAAGCCAAGCCCAGCATTTCCCCCACACTCTTGGGGCAGGCTCGACAAGCATTTGCTGAGCACTTACTTTGAGGTAGATACCTTCAACACTAGAGAAATAGGACTCTCTTTGTTCCTAAGGAACTTATATCCCAGTGCCCTCAAATGCCCACTTAGTCAACACATGCTTTTTATTTACCACCTACTATGCTAAGCCCTGTGCTCTGGAAGAAGTGAATATTTCATGCCTGAGATGTTTATATCCTAAGTCCTGCCTGGGTTCCAACCTCTGTCATGTCCCAGCTGAATGACTTAATCCTCCTGTGTCTCAGTTTCCTCATCAAAAGTAAAGTGACTTCTCTCCCAGAGGAGGATTCAGTGAGTTAGTATGTGTGAGGCTGGCTGGAATTTGGTGATCATTCATTTTGAACTAGATATGATTATTTTCAGAAACTACTACATATTGGGTAACTGATGAAACGATTTCCCTTTTCACGAAGGCTCCAGCCTGTCTGTGGGTTGCTGGAGCGCACGAGTTATTTTATCTTGGCAGGGAGTGGCTCCCCAGCCACACACTTTCCCAAGGCTCTATGGCCCCTGAGCAAACACACAGCCTTATGACAACAGGGCCTGACCCCTAACATTGTAAATAAGAATCATGTCTGATTTAGAGCCACAATGCTGATAACAGCCACGCATGGCATGCTGGACCCTGTGCATGTCACGATGACATTCTCTGTTCTGTTGACTTCCACAAGACTATATATAACATTTCCCAAGGCTCATATGTGGAAGAGGTAGAATCAGGCAGTCTGAGTCTTAACCAAGATGTTTATCTGTCAGTAGAGGCAAATTCCCCACCTACCAAAACGGTGCATATAAAGGTCTGAAAATCAGGAGGGGTGGCACAGTTTTGTTAGAAAAGAAAGAAAAGACCTATATGGTAATTACTTGGCATAGTCCCTGTTAAGCATGTCACAAATATTAACCGATGTAGATATCATTATTAAGCCCATTTTACAGATGAGGAAGTCGAAGCACAGAGAGGTAAAATAACCTGATTGGCATTGCACAGGTAGGGGTGGTTGGGGCCAGGCTCACAACTCAGGCCTCTATGCTATCCTTCCTTACAGGTAAGCACAAGCAGATGGAGCAGATGGCCTTCTGTGAACGTTGGCTTTATTAATTCACTTTGAAATTAAAAAAAAAAAATCCAGATTTAGTAAAGAGAGGTTTTATTCCTTCCAAAGTTCTTTTGCCACCAGCCTGTCCTGGACATCTCTCCAGCAGTGTTTCCTCTACATGTATGGCTCCACCCCAAATTCTCCCTCATCTCCCTTTTTTTATACAGAAAAATTTGTCTGTTTTGGCTTCTCTGCCTATTTCCCACTTAGCAAATAAAGAAAACTCCTCAAGATGCACTCTCTAGGGAACATGAACATCATAAATATTAAAATTATTAAATAATTTCTCCTGTCCCCTTGGTTGGAACAAATCTGTCTTGCCTTGACACCTTGCAGGTGGCGATTCCGGAATTGGCCATGCTTTGTCCAAGTATCTGGACCAGCTGGGCTTTACTGTGTTTGCCGGAGTTCTGGATGACCGTGGACCAGGAGCGGAGGAATTACGAAGAACCTGTTCCGAGCGCCTTTGTGTGCTCCAGATGGATGTCACCAACACACAGCAGATAAAAGATGCCTACAGCACTGTGGTGCAGAAGCTGCAGAACAGAGGTACTACCTTCAGCCACCCATGCCCTGCGTTATCCTCCACCTCCTTGCAAATGCTCAACACTGGTTTTAGCCTCTAATTACTGCTGCCCTCTAGTCCATTCTGGCTGCTCACTGCACCTGCAGACACCTGTACGGAGCACCTTCCACATGCTGGGGCCTCTCATAGACATTAGGACATTAGCAATGAGTCAGGCATGGTCTGTCTTCACAGAACTTACAGAATTCTTTATCCTGTTCGCTCCAACATCTGTTCAGTCACTCTCCCATGAATCACCGCCTCCCATTCCCTCCTCGTTTTTCTCCTTTCACCAATGTTGATACATATTAGACTTAAAAAAAATACAACTCCATAATCACTGTCCTTCCCTAGCCACTGCCCCTTCTCCTTCCTTTCCTTCATGGCCAAGTTCTTCAAAAACCTTGCTGCTGTGTTTTTTACTACTTCACTTTCAATCCAACATTGGTCTGGCCAAGCTAATCAGCATTATCCTAAACACCAAAATCAACTTCTCTGCACTGTTTAAATGTGGCAGTCACCCTCCCCTGCCTTGGCTTTGGAGTTGCCAGACCCCTATCGCCATCCTGGTTCACTGATCACTCTTTCTGCTTCTCCTGTCTGAACCTCTTCCTCCACCCCCTACCCACCCACACCCCCCAAATGTGAAAGTTACTGAGGGCTCCATCCCCAAACTTCCCACTCCACATTTTTTGGGCTATTACTGTTCTTTCTCTATATCAGGAATTCACACCTGGGAAGTATTTGAAAATATCCAGGTTGGACCAAGGATGCTACATATGTTGAGGGCCCTGATGCAAAATGAAAATTATGCGGGGCTCCATTAGTTTAAAAAATGATTAAGACTTTAAGATGGTGTCAGCAGAGAATTCCAGCAAGCATGATGCCGTTCTGAAGCACTGGGCCCTGTGTGGCTGTGCAGGTCTCACGCTCATAATATCCACCCAGCCTGGGCACCCCTCCCCCAACCGGTTACATCAGCATCTACCTACAGTAACTCAGCTAATCTTTCAACGGGGATTGCAGTCAGCTAATGGGGCTGGCAATGCTGCTATCTTTTTGCTGAGAATGTCAGTGTTAAAGAAGATCCTAGGCGGGTGTCCTACATATCAGTATATTTTAAAGCTCCTCAGGAGATGCTAATGTTCTGCCCGAGTTGAGAAACATTGAGATTTAAGCAACTGTGATTTAAGTAACTTCCAAATCTGTATTATCTACCTAGCCCTCTTCTCATTGTCCGGAACTATATGTATATAAAGTTGTCTATCTGACGTCTCAACTTGATTGTCAGAAACTGACCTCTGTTCCAAGTCTGCAAATCAGCTTATCCTCTTGCACCCCATGGCTCAGATGCTGGCACTGCCACATTCAAGCCAGTAACCTGGGTGTCACTTAGACCAGCAGCTAACCTTGATCCCTGCATCCTATTGCTCTGGAGTCCTGTCAATTCTACCTCCTAGATCTTTATCACCCCAGTCCCTTCCTAGCATCTCCGGGCAGCTGTGGCTTAGCGCAGGCCCTCATCTCCCACTTGGGCTCCCACGGTGGCCTCCTTCCCCATTACTTTCCCAATGGAGAGTAATCTTTATGAAGTGCACATCTTACAAGGTCATCCATCCCCTAACACCCCTTGGCATAGAGAGCCTTTATGTCTTGGGTTCCTCCCATGAGCCAGCTCTGTGATAGGTGTTTTGCTTCATCTCATTAAATTGTTCAGTGGTTTTCTACCCACCACCAAATAAAATCTAAACACTTTAACAAGCACTTGAAGTCCTCTCAGGGTAGTGGCCCCTGCCAAATTCTTAATTTGCAATACCTGCTGGTCCACTCAGTAAATTCTGAATGCTTTCCAGAATAGAATGTACTAGTTTGTATCTTTGCGTATCCTGCTTCCTCTTGCCAAAATTTCCTTCTTGCCTCCACTTCCTTTCTCTGAGACACTTCCTTCATCCAACGGCAGGCTCTGTTCCCACAGAAGACTTAGCTCAAACATATCCTCACTGGCCTGATCTTCCTGGTAATCCGGCCACGTCACTCATTTCATTCTCCTGGACACTCACTCATTTCATTATACCTTATACACACCTGTGTCACCGCATTATTATAAATATCTGTCCATCTATCACTCCTCACCACTATGCTTCTAGAGAACCAGAACCATGCTTCCAGCAGGATTCTTTCAGATGCAAGTGACACAACCCAATTCAAAACTGCTAAAGCCTAAAGGGAATATGTTTGCTTATGAGATTGATAAGATCAGTTGGCTTCAGGCATGTCTTGATCCAGGCACTTAAGTAATGTCATCAGGACCCAGGCTCCATTTCCTCTGTTGGTTTTATTATAGGGCTTTCCATGGAAGCCTCAAACTCTTCCTGCTTATATCCTCTTGACAACAACAATAAAAAAGAGTAATGTTGTTTGCCTCATTTGTTATTTAAAGGAGTAGTTATTATATAGAGAACACTTAGAAGAGTCTTGGCATGAGGTAAACATTCAGTTAGGCCTCCTATTTTTCATTCAATCAACATTAAGCACAGTCCCTGGCATATAGTGAGTATTCAATAAACATCTAAGAAATGAGAAGACAAGAGAAAAATAGATTGTTGGTTATGAGGAATCAATTTTCAGCATTTAGCAGTGTGTGATCATTTTCTAGAAAGGTAGTTTTCCTGGCCTGGTCTTTTGCTGTCTTACCAGGTTGAGCGTGTTCCTCTTATGAGTTTGATTTCATGGTGTCTTATTCAATGAGATACTCTAGTGAGGCCCAGAGGGGGCAGTACTGGCCATACTGATCAATAAAGCAGGGAAAATACCATGCCAGTGTCCAGGGGTAAAGGGATGTGGTGAGTACACTTTATAAGGTATGAGCCCATGGTATATGAGAGCCAGTACTCTGGAGAGCAATCCTCTTCTGAGACAGAATTACCAACATACATTTTGCCTGCCATTCTCAAAGTCTCTCTCAACTTCAGCTCTCAAGTCAGAGATCTAGAACAGTGAAAACAAGGGACTTTAAAACCACCAAGAAGGATGTTTGCTAAAGAATCTTCTGGGACCTGTAGATAATCCAGAAATCCTCTGATCCTGGAAGAGGGCCAGAGCTTGTGCTATGTTCCTATACTACATGTTAATGAATTTTTGTTAACATATTGTTAATTATTAACTAACATTATTTTAAAGCCCTAAATGTATAATGAGCTTGTTGGCCAGTTTAGAATTCTAGGACGAGAGTTGGCAAATATGGCTTTACCTTGTTTTTTTCTTTTTTTTCAACATTTTGAAATAACTGTAGATTCATGGGAAGCTGCAAAAAAAAAAAAAATGTACAAGGAAATATTAGGCACCTTTTGTCAAGCCTCTCCCAATAATTTTTTTAAAAAATTTACTTCTTTATAAGGGAAGGGAAAGAGAAAGAGAGGGAGAGAAACATCGATATGCAAGAGAAATATCAATCAGTTGCCTCTCACAAGTCCCCACTTGCGGACCTGGTCTGTAACCCAGGCATGTGCCCTGAGGAGGAATTGAACCAGCAACCGTTTGGTTCACAGGCCAGCACTCAACCCACTGAGCCACACCAACCAGGGCAAGCCTCCCCCAATATTAACATTTTGCATACTATGGTAAAAGAGCAACACTAGGAAGTTGCCATTGATATAATCCACAGAGTTTATTCAGATTTTATTAACTATACACACAAGTGTGTGTATGTGTGTGTGTGTGTGTGTAGCTCTGCAATTTTATATGTGTAGATTTGTGCAAAAATCACCACAATCAAGATACAAATCTTTTCCCTCACTACCAGCCTCTCTCACGCTGCCTTTTTAGAGCCATAGTGTCATCCCTAACTCCTGGCACTTATTAACCTGTTCTCTATCTCTTTAACTTTGTCAATTAAAGGCTATTATATGGTTCTGCCACCTGTTTCTGTACAGCCTGTGAGCTAAGGATGTGTTTTACATTTTTTAATGGTTAAAAGAAATCAGAAGAAGAATTTTTTGACAGGTAAATTATATGGAATTCAGCTTAACAATGTTAATCAGCTTAACAATAACCCACAACCTTCGGACCAACTTAAATTATATGGAATTCAAATGTCAATGTTTATATATCAAGTTTTATTGGCACCCAGCCATGCCCATTCATTTACATATAGCCTGACTGCTCTCACACGATAATGGCAGAGTTGAGAAAGTAGGACCTTCAACATCAAAAAATTTTCTATCTGCCCTTTCATACAAAAAGTTTGCCGACCTCTGTTCTAGGTCATTCTCAAGCTGCCATCTGCATGTTGTCTGATTAAAGGTGTGCATCAGGCTGAGTGACTCAAAACTCTCACTGAGGAAGGGGATGCTAGTGGAGGCTTCCTCTTCACCCCTCACTGTCCTTGTAACAGCTGTGGAGCTCCTACTACATGCCAGGCGCCCTCTTTTCTGCATGCCCTCAACATTATTGTACGTAAATGTCACCAACTCAGGTGTGCAAGACATGTAACTTTATTTTCTATAACTCAACTCAATTTCTGTTTTGAGCCATCTTTCTGCCATGTGGCAAACCCATTTCTGTTATTTTGAGCTTCGTCTTATTCCCCTGGGGTAGCATCTACGTACTTGGGGACGGGACATTTCCTGTTGGATTGTCAATGCTTCATGCTGGCCCCTGCGGAGACATCCAATGCTCCATCCAGCCCTCATGTACCTACCTCCTAGATGCTATCGGAAGGTGCTGTTGGAGGCAGTGCCTCCCGCCATTTCTGTGCTCTGCCAGCACTGAGGCTCATTTGTCTTCTGCACATAGCACAGGTTCTCACACTTGAACGTGCAGAAGGATCGCCTGGAGGTCAGGCTGTATCAGGTGCTGAGCTTCACTGAACTCTGATCGCCAGTTTCTGATCCAGCAGGTCTGAAGTGGGGTTCTGGATTGTCATTTCTAACAAGTTGCCAGTTGATGAGGATGCTGCTGGTTCTGGACAGCACCTTACAAACCACTGTTGCTAATTATGCTGAGGCTTGGGGAACTCAGAGAGTCTGCTACAGGTCTGTCAAGATAAACATGCCCTGGGTCCTGTCACCTCCATTTCTCTCAGATAAAGAGGTTCCAGGTCACTCACCTCTGCTTCAGACCCCTCAACCCCTGAAACATCTAGAGGTCATTTATTTATTTTTTTGTTTACCTCTTTCCTACTATTTATGGCAGTGATTCCCAAGCCTGCGTATTGTAATCACCTGGGAAATTTTGAAAACTACTAATGCCAAGGTCCCCTTCCTCCCCCATATCAGAGTCCTGATCTAATTGGTTGGGATGTGGCCTGGGCATGGAGGCCTCGAGAAGCTTCCCCAGGTGAGCATAATGTGCAGTCAAGGTTGAAAACTACTACTTGAGGACAGTGGTTCTCCACGTGTGGTCTGGGCCAGCATGGGCATCACCTGGGAGCTTGTTAGAAATGCGTATTCTCAGGCCCCGCTCCGCACATCTCAAATCAGTCTTTGGAGGGGGAGCCATCAATCTGTGTTTGAAAAGCCCTCCCGGTGATTCTGAGCAAGGGGGTCAGGCTGGTTGGGGAAAAGAATAAGGCTCAGGGTCTCTACAATCTTTTTAGCTCTTGGTACTTGTGCTCTGGTTTTCCTCTTTCCTGGGACTGGAAAATCTTCTCATCTAAGGAAAAGGGAAGACAGGCTCTTCTGTCATTCTGCATTGTCCTAAAAATACTATACTGTCTCTCTACGCTCCTTGGAGGGATAAGCATGAGGTAGGCTCTTATTAGCTTCATGGATGTAGGGAAGTGTTTTGAAGCAATAATAATAATAAGAGTAATGCCTCCAAAAATATTGCTTGATATGTCACAGATTACTCCCCACATAACCCCTCATGGTAGGTAGTTGTAGGGATTCAAGGAGACTGAGGTTCAAGAGTTTAAGTTATCTGCCTAGGTCTGAAATCTCAGAGGGGTCCTTTTGACTCTGGAACTTGAAGTGTTATAAACTGTCCTGCTTCCTAGTCTGGCCCAACCTCAAAGCTGTTTCGTTCTGTTCTCAGGACTGTGGGCTGTCGTCAACAATGCTGGGATCCTTGGCTTACCTGCTGAAGGGGAGCTCATTCCCATGAGCCACTACAAGCAATGTATGGCTGTGAACTTCTTTGGGGCCGTGGAAGTCACAAAGACATTTTTGCCCCTTCTTAGGAAATCCAAGGGGAGGCTGGTGAACATCAGCAGCATGGCGGGTAAGTTGGCCTTTCCCCACAGGGTTATGCAGTGCCCCTCATGTGAGACGTGCCTTGCTGCATTCTTTGTGGGCTGAACAAAAAGCAGGATGTGCTCAAGCAAGACTGGGTCAAGATTAGTCAAATTGTATGTTTACTGTTGATCTTAACACAATGAAACCTTTTTCTCCTTTCAAATCTTTTCATGTACAAACTCTAACATACCTTCTAATTTACCTATTCATTACTGGGGATTTAGGGTTGTTGCCTATTTTCATAATGTGACTGCCAATATATAAGCTTCCTAGATCTGGACAGGAAATCCTGCATACAGTTAATGTTAGCATTACAGGTTACTTGTTTTCAAACCTCCTAAACTTTTGTTCCCTGTGAGGCGAGTAGGCAAATGTCTTCATCCTGTTGGCACTGTCAGAGCCCTATGTCTTAGTTGGCTGCCTGCTAGTGTTTTCTGTACAATCCTCCCCATCATTTGCAATCTTGGCAGCTGGGTGAGAGTGAGACATTTGATGATTTATTTCTCTCCATGTTAATGAACAGATACTCAACAACTAGAGTCAACCTCCCTTTTATAACCCATGCCCATGTATGTGACTTCACATACATGCAATAAAAGATGTCATCTAGGAGTGCTTGGAAGGCCTGGGACAGAGTGAGCCTCAATATGGATAGCCAATGCTGGGTATGAAGGCCAGTCCCTACAGTTGATGTTTTCATGGGGGTCAGGCGGGTGAAGGGGATGGAAGACAGGGAGGAAGGGTAGATGCACCAGCAACTCAGGTTTATTACTTTACTCTTGTTGCTATGAAAAATAACCACAAATTTTGAGGCTAAATGATACAAAGTTCTCTTATAGTTTTAAAGGTGAGAGGTCTCACTGGGCTAGAATCAAGATGTCAGCAGGGCTTCATTCCTTCCAGAATCCCTAAGGGAGGGTCAATGCCCCTGACTTTTCCAGCTTCTAGAAGCCACCTACACTCCTTAGTTCATGGCCCTTTCCTCCATCTTTCAGTTTCTCCTTGACTCTGACACTCCTGCCTTGCTCTTATAAGGATTGGGATAGGAGAGAAACATTGCTTCTTTACATTCTTTTCTAGGTAATGCACAGAAAACATAACCACATTATGAACAGCCTTTTCTTCCATATTTCCCATCCCTAAAGAAAGGAACAAGAAATAGAAAGAGTGAGAAAGACATGAGGTAGAATCAGGTTGGTTGAAGCGTTGCCCTGTGCACTAAAAGGTTGTGGGTTCAATTCCTAGTCAGGGCACCTACCTAGGTTGCGGGTTCCGTTCTTGATTGGGACACGTAACTAGGCAACTGATGGATGTTTCTCTTTCTCTCTCTTCATCTCCCCCCTTCCTCTCTCTCTAAAATGAATACACACATCCTCGTGTGAAGAGAAAAAAAAAAAAGTTAGGAAGCCAGTCAAACAGAGTGGAGATAAACTGCTATGTTGGGATCCTGTGTTTACCACTGATAAACTAGTGACGTAGTACAAAGTCTGATTTCCTGCGATGCAGCTTCCTCATTTTACTGTGGGAATAATAGTCAATTCTTAGGGTTGTGCTGAGATGAGATTAAATGACATGTTTAAGCATCAGCCACACCTGGCATGTAGTGCATTAGAGACCCAAAATCCATCTACGTCCATACCACCCTGAATGTGCCCCATCTGGAAAGCTAAGCAGGGTTGGGCTTGGTTAATACTTGGATGGGAGAGTCAAAAGCCATACTCCATGACATTTGAGGAAGAGGCTGGCTATATGTGCATCTGTGGCTTTTTGTCCTGCCAGCTGCTGGCATCACCACCCCTGATGATGACAATGAGTAACCTGCTGCCTGCTCCCTGTCACACACTAACCCTTGACAGGTTACTACTTTTAGAGTTAACCATACTTTCTGTGGTAGAATTTTATCTCCTATAATCATGTTTATCACCCTTACCACAGTAATACAATAGCTCTTTAACCCAAATCCTGACAAGGCAGTTAGATAAATATTTAACCAAGGAAGAGAAGAATTTGGAGGTGATTCTTAAATTGATTGCACAAAGGGCACTTGAAAAAGCTTTATGTTTGAGAGATCTAAAAGCTTTTTCTTGCCAGTTTTCCTCTTAAGAAGTTGCAGAGTAAAACTTGTGTATGTACAATTGCAAGCTTGACTTGAACAAGAATGGTAGAAAACAAACCTTACGAAACAGCTCAGGCCTCAGGGTTTTTGAGCCAGTTGTGGTTTGAATTCTGTTCCAATATTAGTTGGGTGATCTGGGGCAGGTCACCTCACTTGTGTACATGTCCATGATAATGCTAGGATGACCCAGCACCTGAATCTAGGGCAGTGTTTCACAACCTCAGCCTTATTGATATTTGGGAGGGCTAATTTTTGGGGGGGTGGGGTTGTCCAATGCATTGTAGGATGTTCAGCAGCATCTGTATTCTGAACCCACTAGATGTAATTAGCACCCACCCCCATGGCTGATAAATCTTCACACATTGCCACATGGGGGTGGTCTTCAGGCAAATCACCTCCAGTTGAGAACCTCTGACCTCGACATTGTTGGTTCTGAGTGTTTAGCATGGTTACTGGTTAATATGCATAAAAATTACTTTACACCAAAGTAAGTGGCCTTGGAGATCATTACAGGTCTATAAATTACAGTTATCAGGCAGAATTCATGGTTCCAGCTTTGAGCCTGGTCTTGCTTAGTCTAGAAAAGTTGACTGCAGATCATTCCTGGATTTTTTCTTGCTGAGCTGGCTGCCGTAAGGAAATCAATCAAACCGGCAAATTATTCAGCCAGTCCCTCTGCTGCTCCATGATGTGAGAGGAAGCCAAAGCTGAGAGTTACTTCCCTGAAATTCTCACACAAAAGCGGGGGCTAGTGTAAGGCAAGTGGAAGAGAGTAGAACAAGATTGAATGAGCTTTTCTGCACGAAATTATATTAGATGCTTGCACACCTGAAATCACTTAAATCCAGGTCTGCAGGATGCAGGTATTAACACCATTTCTATATCAAGCATACTCTAGTTTAGGATTATATAGCTGGTAAGTGCTGGAGTCAGGGTCGGTAATCTGGTCTGTCTGTTTTACTCTAAATTCAGTGTTCTCTCTCTTTTCTAGGCTATCAAAAAAGACATATCAGAAAAACAAGGCAAAAAAAAAAAAAAAAAAGACCCTAATTCTACTGTGCTTAAATGATGATGAGGAGGTGTTAGCAATCCAGGGCTGCCTGTCTCTTACACCAGGGCTTCTCAGATATTGGGTTGGTCAAAATGTCTGTTAGGTTCTTTCTGTAAAATACAAGACACATTTTTCATTTTCACCAATAACTTTATTGATTTGGATATTTTGAATAAGTCGGCTATCTTCCACTATTGGATTCCAGTGGGTAGAGGCCAGAGGTGCTGCTAAACATCTTTCAATTCATAAGACAACCCCACAGCAAAGAAGTATTTGGCCGAAAGGCTAATAGCACCAAAACACTTTGCAAACCACTTTTGACACATTCGATCGTCACAACACCTTCTTCATATACTGCACAAGTCTTTTTTTCTCATTTCAGTTGCATTTTCACCTTTTTTGAATTAATAAAGCGTATGCCAAAAGTGTTGCATATTTTCTTCCATCTGTAATATTAAAATGGCTGCACAAAAATTCACCAATTTTGATTAAGTTCTTTGCACACTGATATGGCAGCTGTCACAATACAATCTAAAAAAATTGTTTCGAATGAAGTTGAAGACAACTAAGCGCTATTAGAGCCATTGCATGGAAAAAAAAAACACGATTTTTTTGGCCAACGCAATACTAATGTGTGTAGTGATCACTTGGGGATCTTTGTTAAAATGAAGATTTTGACTGGTTGGTCTGAGGCAGGTGGGTGCCTAAGATTCTGCATTTCTCTAACTAATTCTTTAGTGATTACTACTGTCCCTGGGTGACTTTCTCAAACTTTGGATGTATTAAAATCACCAGAAGGACTACTTAAAAACAACCTCAGGAAACCAAAGCTATAATGAGATAACACTTCACACCCACTAGTATAACTGTAATAAAAACAAACAAACAAACAAACAAACAAATAAACAGAACACCACACTTGATGGCAAGGGTGTGGAGAAATTGGAAGTCTCCCAAGTTGCTGATAAAAATGTAAAACAATTTAGGTTCTGTGGAAACCATCTGGTGGTTTCTCAACAAGTTAAACAGTTATCTTATGACCTAGAAATCCTACCCCTAAGTATATATGCAAGAGAACAAAAAACAGGTGTTCAAATAACAACTTGTACTCAAATGTTTATAGTACCTTTATTCATAATGCTCAGAGGTGTAAACAACCCAAATGGCCATCAGCTGGTGGACTGACAAACAAAATGTGGTCTAGCCATACAACGGGATATTATTCATTCAAAAATAAGAATGAAGCACTGAAACGTGGTACAGAATGGATGAATTTTGACAAAATATGGCAAGTGACAGAAGCGAGGCACAAAAGGCTACATACTGGATGATCTTATTTATATGAAATGTCCAAAATAGGCAAACCCATAGAAATAGAAAGCATATTAATGGTTGTTGGGTTGGGGTGAAAGAGAATGAGAAGTGACTGCTTAATGAGCGTAGGGCTTCCTTTTGGGGCATTGAAAATATCGTGGGACAAGACACTAGGGTTGCACAAGATTGTGAAGGTACTTACTAAATGCTGCTGAACTGTACACCTTAAAATGGTTAAATGGTGAATTTTATGTTGTATGTATTTTACCACAATAAGAAAAAATCCTGCACCCACCCCCAGGATTACTGATTCAGTAAGTCTGGAGGGGGACCTGTAGACTTACACTTTTAACAGGTTCCTAGCTGCTGCTGGTGGTTCTCAGTCACACTGTATGGAATCACACTGTATGTATAGTGATTCCAAAGATGGAATCACTATAACCCTCTCCCATCTCCACAGTTTCCCTCCTCCACCCTAACCTCTGACTCTGCTTTCCCCTTTGGCTCCTCTGCTGTCCTTTGCTTACCCTAAGTGATGGCAAAAACAGCCTCTGGGGGCTCCTTTGTTTCACCATTATTGTACTTAAGTAGCCAGGAACATTTTAAAAAACCACTATTTATATCAGGGCTCTGTGGCTCAATTAAGGTCACGTGCCCAGACCCAACCCAATCTCCACACCCAGCAGAGGAAGTATTATGATGGGCAGGTCTGTCTGTCTGAATGAGAAGGACAGAACCGTTGACTGGGCAGCCTTCCTCCAAGGCAAGAAGGTAAGGGTGAATGCAGGCACACCTCTATTTATTGCGATTTGCTTTGTTGCACTTCACAGATACGATTTTTACGAAGTGAAAGCAAGACCTCTGCCAGCAAAAAAGATTGTGACTGGCTTTTGTGCAATATTCGCTTTATTGGGGGTAGGGGGTCTGCAACCAAACTCGCAATATCTCCGAGGTATGCCTGTATTTCCCCAAAGGAAATTATGTGAGCCAGACCAAAACTCTAATAATAATGTAAGAAGAATGATGGTAATTGACATTCTACAATTCTCTACTTCAATGCCTATGTTCTTCCCCGCCCCCAGATTTGATTGATGTGTAATTGACACTTAACATTTTATTAGTTTAAGGTGTAGAACATAATGATTTGAGGTATACATATATTATGAAATGATTACCCAATAAGATTAATTAATATCCATTACCTCATGGAGTTACACATTTTTTTTCTTGTGATGAGAATTTTTTTAAAGACTTATTTTTAACAACTTTCAAATATACAATATAGAATTAACTATGGTCACTATGCAGTATAGTAGGTCCTCAAACGATATTGTTTAATTTGACCAGTTTCATTATTAACGGTGCCCAGATGCTGTGGAAATTTAACTCTTGTTTATATCAATTAACCTATAGTTATACCTCTTTTTCTTAAAGTCGGAGACCTTTTGACAATGGTAAGGACTTACTGTATATTACATCCCCAGATTTGTTTGTTATAACTGGAAGTTTATATCTTTGACCACATTTACCCATTTTGCCTATATCCTGCCCCGTCCCCCAAACTCTGGACTCCATCTATCTGTTCTCTGTGTCTATGATTTTGTTTTTTTAGATTCCATATATGACTGAGAGCATACTTGTCTTTCTCTGTCAGACTTATTTCACTTAGCATAATGCCCTTAAGGCTTTCAAGGTACATTTGTGTTGTTGCAAATGGCAAGATTTCTTTTGTTTTATGGCTAAATAATATTCCTTTGCATATATTATACCACATTTGCTTTACTCATTCATTTGTTGATGAATTCTTTGGTTGTTTCCATGTCTTGGCTATTGGAAATAACGTTACCATGAACATGAGGGTGGAGATGCTATGCTCTTTTTTTAATTGAAATTCCTATTAAAGTCATTGTAGATTTACTAAAGTTGTAAGGAAGAATAAGAGAGATCTTATGTACCATTTACTCAATTTCCTCCGACGGTAAAATTTTGCAGAACTATAGTACAATACTATAACTAGCATACTAATAATGATGTAATCCACCAATTTTATTCAGATTTTCCCAGTTTTACTTGTGTGTGTATTTTGTTTCATACATTTCATCATCTCATTTTCTCTTTAATCGTGCACTAAGCATTTAGCTGCTATGAGGCAGGGGAGGGAGTAGAAAGGCGAACAAGGAAGTTTTGGGGGATGATGGGCATATTCACTATCTTGATTATGTGGTCATGGTTTCCTGAGTGCATACATATGTCTAAATTTATCAAATTGTGTACTTTAAATATGAGTAGCTTATTATATATCAATTATATCTCAATTAAAAAACATATTAAAAAATGGAACCACCTGGCTTCAAGAGGCCATAGACATTTCAGCAAATGCCAGATATGATTTCATGGGTATTTTGCTCTGCCTAAAATCCCCAGGACATTAGCACAACTATCTAGGGTTGGAAGGAAGACCTCCCGCTCTCCCTGGTCTTTCCTTTCCATGCTTCCCAGTTCCACCAGCTTTCCCGGCGTTTAGTGATTCTCACCAAACCAAACATGAGACTAGGTTTGCACATGTGCTTGTCTTTGTTCTCATTACAATTTTGCAAATAAAATTTTTTAGTTGAACATGCTTCATCCATGGGAGAACATGTTTTTGGCCTGAATCCCACCTCTACCCAAACGTTAAAGTTTTCAGCTGGAGCATTTGAAACCACAAAATATGCCTCATGCTCATATCTAACATTTATTAAGGATCATTTACTAAGGGATACTTAAGTCATCACCATACATGAAAACATCAGACCTGATTTTTTTTTTCTCCCATTATTTCCATAGGAGGGATCCCATTTTTAAATCTGGCGGCCTATGGCTCCTCCAAGGCGGCTCTGACCATGTTTTCGGCAATCATGAGACAAGAGCTTTCAAAATGGCAAGTTAAAGTCTCTATCATCCAGCCTGGAGGCTTCAAAACAGGTAAGTGTCTGAACCTAAAAACCTTGCAATGTTCATCCAGGGAAGGATGCCAAAGGTCCTTTGTTCTGCTCAAACTGAACACTTCAAGGTCAACTAAAGAGGGGTTGGTATGGGTGGGCTGCCTTTAAGACTAGAGGGGCAAGTGCTAGGTTCTTTTTTTCAATCTATGGTTGCTTCCCTGCATTCTTCCCCAAGGGAATTAAGTTTTGATGTCAAGTATTTTTTAAACACCACCTCCTCCCCTCTGAAGAATGTAACCCACTTGTTTCCTACCCTGGGAGGGGATGGCTATCCTCTCCTCCCTCCTCCTTCCTCCCTGAATATCTGAACTCTGGACAGATGCAGACCACCTCTATGACTTCGTGCTTAGTTCTGGGCCATCAAACATTTAATTGGTGATTGAAGTAAAGATGTAAAAAGCCTGTCAAATAAAAGACCACAAACTGAGAGGTACTGCTAGCACACTGAAGAACAAATCCTAGAGGTCTGACTATTCACCGAAATTGTGGCTAACATTTTGGGGGAGCTGCTCTTTTCAGACTCTAGCTACTTCCTATATATTCTTTCCGATGTTTTGATGTTATTTATTTTTTAATTGAGAGGTATATCATACACACACAGAGTTTAACAAATTATTATAAAAACTCATGTCCTGAACATCCAGACAAAAAAATAAAATGTCGTCTATACCCAGAAACTACCATATGTATAACCTTCTCTCATCCCCAAAATGTGCCCACTCTTTTACTTTTTGTAATAATTCCTTGTTTTTCTTTACAATGCCATATCCATAGATACATCTCCAAACAATAGAGTTTGGCTGTACTTGTTTTGAACTTTGAATGGAATCAACATGTTTGTATTTTATTATGTCTGGCTTCTTTCACTCCGCATTGTTTCCATAGTTCACCTATGTTGTGTGCAGCTGTGGTTTATTCATTTCCATTGCTGTATTCTGTGGATGTGCCACAATTTTTCTACAGTTGGTGGGATATTTGGGTCAATTTTGGACAATTATGAAGAATTCCTCTATGAACCTTGTGTCGCACATACTGCAGTGTATCTGTACATGATTTTTCCTACAGCACATACCCAGGAGTGGAATGACTGGATCATAGAGTTGGATTATCTCCCATCTTACCAGATAACATCAAACTGTTTTCTAAAATATTGCTTCCAGCCCTGGCTGGTGCGGCTCAGAGAGCTGAGTGCTAGCCTGCAAACGAAAAGGTTGCTGGTTTGATTTCCAGGGCACATGCCTGGGTTGCGGGCCAGGTCCCCCGTAGGGGATGTGCAAGAGGCAACCACACATTGATGTTTCTCTTCCTTTCTTTTTCTCTCCTTTCCCCTCTTACTAAACATAAATAAATAAAATCTTTAAAACTAACTAAATAAAATAAAATAAAATATTGCTTTCATTTATAGCCCTACTCTTTCCATATGAGTCTTAGTCTGCATCACAGCTCTGAGGGGTAGGTTTAATGGACATAATTCTCCAGGTGAGGTCACTGCAGTGAGGTGGGTGATATACACCCGGTATTGGTGTCTGGGACATGATGACAGTGGAGAATATAAAACCAAATTCTGAGATGTAGTGCTGGATTCTTTGTGTTATGCCAGGCTGACCTCACTTTAAAGCTGATATTTGATGGGCTCTCTGAAGGCAAGAGGTCAGACAATAGATGGCTGAAGACTCAAACTTGGAGAACAATGCTTGAAGGTGGGGGCAAGAATAAGAATCTTCAGGGACACAAAGAGCTTCTGAAAGACATCCAAGGAGACACCCCAGATTTCTTAGTACCAGCAATACAAATTGCTTACCAAGTTTTAAGCACCTGACATGCACAATCTCACTTAATCCTACGAGGTAGGCATTATAATAATCACATTTCCTATGGAAAAAACTGATGCTCAGAGAAGTTAAGGAATTTCCCAAGCCACACAGCTGATATGAAGCAACATGAGGCAGAGATAGGATGTACAGTGAGAGAGTTTTAACAATTGTGTGTAGCCCAAAGTGTCCGGGGGTTAGAGGGGGTGCACGTCAAAACTGGCATGCTGCTTTACAAAGGGCTGGTGGCTTTGACACCAATAAAGAGAGCTCTGAAAAATCTAGATGGGATCCCCACAAGAGTGATTAGAAAGTCCATGAGGTATTTAAAGAGGAAACGTAGAGGGAAAGGAACCCCCTAGCCTGTGAAACCAGGAACTAGGGGAGAAGTAGTTGGAGGAACAATAGTTCATGCAAACATGTTTCCCATGACTCAGAAACCTCCAGAATAATTGTCAGGGCAATCATTTCTTTAAATATGGCATGTGCCTTCATAAAAAGAAATGAGCAATTGAAACCATGTTTACAGTCCCATGAGTATATTTCAATTTCACTGGCTTTCATTTCACAACGAGACTCCCCCACGGCCCTGATATTGGGTGTTGACCAAACTTGCAAACCAAGGCTCATCCCTGCAGCAATCCACACGCAGTCACATACTTTGCAGGAGAGAGCATGAATTGCTGCAATAGTTCTACAAAAAAAGGTCTGGCAGTAGCTATTACAATTCAAAACGCATGTGCCTTTTTACTGGGCAGCCACGCTTTGGGGACTATAACCTACAGAAGTAAGTGCTGAAATACAGGAGAATAGGATCTACAAGGCAGTTTACAGCAGAGCCACCTAAAATGGTGAAACCTAGGCAAGACTGGAAAGTTCTTTGATAGAGATGTGGTTGACTAAAAACTCTTCGACGGAAACTTCTGCCGCTCTGGTTTCAATCTATAGCCACCAACCACTGGGCAAAAACAAACAAACATACACAAAAGTAAACTCCTGGAAAAAATGTATAGTACTGACCCTTTTTGGTTTATGTTTCTGGTAAAATGGAATTGACCCAAAGCCTTGTATGTGTATATATATTTGTATAACCAAGGGGGAAATGTAGAAAGACATCCAAAACTGTAGGCAGAGGAGATTGATTTTAAAAACATATGCATCTTTTTATTCTCTTACAGCATGTATACACATATTTTATACATAACATATATTACAGCGTGTATATTATATTTTATATTGTATTTAATCATCATGAAAAGATATATCCTGGAATGTTTGTAACAGCACGATTTCTAAGCGCTCCAAATTGAAAACAACCCAAATGGCCATCACAGAATACTAATGGATAAATAGTTTATGGCACATTTATACAAGACTATGCAGCTATGAGAATGACTATACAATATCATAGGTGAATCTCTCATGTCGTATATGATTCCATTTATATCATGTCCAAAGCCAGGCAAAAATTCTCTGTTCTGTTCATCAGGACAGTGGCTCCTGGGAAGGGGGATGAGAATGGGGGCTTTGAGGATGATTTTGTCTTTTTTGATCTGGTTGCTGGTCACACGGGCTCTTCAATTTGTGAAAACCCAGTCATCTGTGCAGTTTTCTGTTAAAAATATAATAAATATCACTATAAAGCACATATTTGAAAAGGTTTTTGGGAACACTGGTTCTTCCCAACAGACATCAGTTTTCAAGGGCCGGGTTCCCCTTCGGGGTTGGCCATGCTTGTTGGGGCCCTCCCAGCCTCTGAGCCTCTGTTTTCTCTGTTATCCCAGGTATCTTAGGCACGAGAGAAATGCTGGAAAAGCTGGAGAAAGACATGCTGGACCATCTCACCCCTGACGTGCAAGAGGAGTACGGCCAGGAATTTATCCTTGTGCAACGGAAATGGCTCAGCAACATCAGCTGGTTTTCCAGCTCTGACATATCCCCTGTGCTCCTCGATGTCCAGCATGCCATTTCTGCTAAGAGCCCCTTTACCTTATATGCACCAGGGTCAGGTGCTTACCTGTGGCTCTGCTTTTTTTCCTTTAGCCCAACTGGCATATTTGATTATTTTAACAAAAAATTGTATAACTTTGGTGTTAAAATACCTAGAGCACTAAGCACGTCTAACTGAAAGAATAAGGTCATGTACGCAAATAAGTGGAAAATGCTGTAATCTTGGAGTGAAAGGGAAATCAGAGCTTATTATTAAAGCATAGTTTTTACCTTGCATTTCCTGTGAATTCTGTTCATTGAATGGGACCTATGGTGGGAAGGCTGGAGGGTAGAAATGCCCACCATGAAGAGCATTGATTGAATACCAGCTCTGCGCTAAATACATTTCAAATATTGTCTCATCTAGTTCTCATCAGAGAACTGAGGTAGGTATCTTCACCTTAGTTTCTTGGGTAAAGGAATTAAGGATCTAGAGGCTAAGTTCTTAGTTCATTGTCACATAGCTAGCAAAAGGCAGAGCAAAAACTGAAATCCAGATTTGACTTTACTATCTGACAAGAGAGAATTAAGTGAAACAGAGATGAAAGAGAAAAAAGAGCGAGAGAGGAAAGGGAGAAGAGGAGGACGAACTGTCAAGGACCAGAGTCAAACTGAGTCTTTTTCACTGTGTACTGATATCCCTCAGTAACTATTGTACTTCATTCAAAGTATTAAGTTCACTGTATATAGTCAGTGCTCTGTGCACCTTCTCTCCCTCCTTCTACCAGGAGCCCTGGGAACAATATGACGAGCTCTCTCATCACAAGCAAAGCACCAGAGTCCTCTTGGCAGACCCATGATGTGTGACTGGCTGGTTTGGTATCCATAGTAACCATCCCTGTCACCTGATCTGAGCATCTTAGGATAGAAAGCCAGTTATCTGGAGAAGACTGGCTGAAGGGAGCAATGTCAGCTACTAAGGGGTGTTGCCAAGTTCACCTGGGGTAGGCAAAAGGGGAGGAGCTTGTGAACAGAGGGGGCATAAATGGAATTAGAAAAATATCAGCTTGATACAAGGGAAGCGGAGGCCCAGACATCTTGCTCATGGCAAACTTCTGTCTGTCCCATTTCCTTTCAGGAATGTGCAGGTTCTTTTTCTATTTTCCAACTCCCTGGAAATTTGGGAAGAGCAGATAAACTGATAGTGCTCTGCGATTTTCTCCAAAATAAAATAATAAGTAACAATATAGTGAGATAAATATTTAGAAAATTATTAATATATTGTATCTTTTATTTTTTTAATTACATGTGACATTCAATATTTTTTGTATTAGTTGCAGATATACAACATAGTGGTTAGAAAATCATGTATTTTACAGAGTGGTCCCCCCGATGTTTCAAGTACCCACCTGGCCCAGACATAGTTATTACGATATTATTGACTATATTCCCTATGCCATAATTTTACATCCCTGTGACTGTTCTGTAACAACAAATTTGTACTTTTTAATCCCTTCACCTTTTCCACCCAGCTCCCAACCCCCCTTCCTTCTGACAACTAACTGTCCATCTGTTCTCTAATATGATAACATTTTAAATGACTGGTAATGGCAACTTCCCAGTGGTTCTCCACCATTACTTTAGGGCAAAACAGAAAGAAAAGAAAACAGAAATCAAGTTAAGCGTTGATTTCCATAATAGGCACTTTTTGGAGATAAGAGCTATCAAGGCCAACACTCCATTTATGGGGTTCAGTCACTGACAGGGCAAAGGATGTGTGCAGCCTGCAGTCCAGGATCCAGAGGAGGACTGAGGATTGTGTGTTTTATGATAAACCGGTGGTTCTCGGAGTGTGGCCCCCACGCCTGCAGCATCAGCACCACCTGAGACCCTACTAGACATGCAATTTCTCAGGAGCCAGTGCATTTCAGGTTCCTGTGACTGTTGTAACACATTACCAATAACTCAGCAGTTTAAAACAACATACATTTATTATTTTACAGTTCTGGAGGTCAGAAATCTGAAATGTATCTCACTGGGCTAAAATCAAGTCATCAGTAGAGCTGGTTCCTTCTGAAGGCTCCAGGGGAGAATTCTTTTCTTGTCTTTTCCAGCTTCCAAAGGCCTCTGTATCCGTTTGCTTGTGCCTGCCTCACTCTGACCTCTTCTTCCTCCTCTCATCTCCTTCTCTGACTCTGATCCTCCTGCGTGCTCTTTATAAGAACCTTGCGATTATATTGGCCTGCCAGGATAACCCAGAATAAGCTTTCCATTTTAAGATCCTTGATTTAATCACATCACCAAAATCCCTTTTACTGTGTGAGGTTACATATTCATAGGTTCTGAGGACTCCTGTGCTACTGCCATTACTGGGGATCAGTATTCCACTGACTTAGCTAATGAATCAGAAATTCTGGGGGTGGGCCTAGCAATTCGTGTCATGCTGAGCGTTCCAGGTGATGTACAGCCAAGTTAGAGAACCACAGCTCTAAGGTATAGCGTAAGCGGGCTGTGTGATACGTGGCCAGGCCACAGGAGGAGGGGGGAAGGTCTTTGAAGACAGTGGGGGAGAGCTGGAAACATCAGGTTGAGACCTGAGTGTGGGACATACTCTGTGTTCTGCAGCCTCTAGGGGTTGAAAACTGAGGCATGGGCAGAAGGTGCTGAATGGAGGCTCAGACAGGTCTGAGGATTGGTATCAGAGAAGCTGCTGACTGGTTTCTGCAGGAGTGCTTCTGCACTATCTTTGGGTTACCTTGGAGGAAAAGAAACCCAAGGGTGGCCTATATTAGCCAGAGAAAGACTGACAGCTTCTCACTGTCATTCCCATCATGATTCCCTTGGGTTTGGGTTGGAGTGGAGAGGTCTGGAAAAATCGTTGAGGCTCCTGGAGAAAGCAGGGAAAAATTCTGGGAATGAAGATTATGGGTCCCTGAGAGGTGAATGGGAGAATGGTATAACAAAGGCCACCCAATGGGCAGCCTTGAACCTGGGGGCTGAGTTAAGGTTGAGAAATTCAACTGGAAGCCAGTGGAGTCAAGACACTGCGACTTTCCTCATGCTGGGAGAATATACCAGGCCCTAGGAGCTCAGATTCTGAGGAAAAGGGCAATAAAAAGAGAAAGGGGGTGGGGTGGGTCTTGAATTCCACTGCACATCCATTTGGAAGGCCCTGTTTTAAACCAGAAGAGACCAAGTTAACTGAACGTATTAATAGGTATTCCAATGTATTTCATCTTTAGTAAATACCTATAGAGTTTCAGAAAACAAGGGACGGGTATTGCAGACCAAACACCTTCATACCCTGACCATGTCTACACAGTAATCGATGTCTCTTATTTAGAAACCGGTAAGAGCTAATGGCAGAGGGGAACCCCCAATGTGTCTGCAATTTGTTGAATGCTTCGGGGAAGACATGATCAGCAGGTAATTCAACAATAAGACTTCTGGCAAAAAGTATTTAATCTCCCTCCTCCCACCCCAGTCCTGCTCTTCTGCTCAAGGGCAGGATGCAAGGTACATTTAATACCTGGCTACACAATATCACATGAAAATCCCATGCAAAACCTTACCTGCTCCTTTTTATCTCTTCCTTTTCTGTATTTCCCTGATGGTGGCAGCAGGATAGTGGGCCATCCTCACAACAGACCTAGGGTAACAGGGAGAAATCAGAAAAAGCATCCAGTGAAAATATAATTTCTTTTTTTACATAGAAAGCTAATAAAGGCCTAAAATAAACTTTACTGTTTTATTAGAAAGGAACATTAAATTTCATCAGTTTCATTATACTGGTGAAAAAGACTCTTTTAGAATGCCATCCTCCATAGCGTGATTCTGAAGAAGAGTAATTCCATGATGGGGTAATGTTACCTCCTGCTCGGTAATAGTTGCCAGTCCAGCTCACACAGAGCAGTGTCCACTCAGGCGCAGGAGCCCTGGACACCTGCTCTGAAATGACTCAAATTAGTGTCTCTCTACCAATCTGTTTCATAAGCCAGTATTTCCCTCTGGGATCTCAGGTGTATGTATGGCCATGGCAGGACTAGATGGGTATTTCTGAGTCCCAGCTCAATACTGAGCTCAGAATTACACATCAAGAAAAAAGAAACAAAAGGAGGGGAGAGAGATTGGAATCTAATTTGAAGGTTTAAAATAAGGAGATCTCAATATGTTTGTAGTCTGAAGTTGCTTACTTTTATGCCTGCCTAGCATTTTTTGGGTGGGGGATTTGGTGAGACTGCCATTCAAACCCCCCAAGTCCCCCCCAGTAAGAGTGGGCATGTGATCCAGGCTGGCTAATCAATCTGTACTCTTGACTCCAATGATTGGTTTATGCGTGGGCACAAGACCCAGGAGGAGAGGATCATGACTCTCAAAGGTGGGAGGATTACTAATAGGCACTGAAAGAGAAACCGTATCTGTAATGACCATATTAAACTGAAGCTTCTAGAGCCCACCAGAAAGAGAGTGTGGTAGAGAATGAAGCCCTGATAAAGAAAACGGAGCATAATGATGACGAAAATCAAGTTTTGATGATAGAGTTTGATATCTTTGATCTAGCTATAATTACCAATTTACACTTGGATTGAATTTCAAGTTGTGTGAGCCAATACCTTTCCTTTAAACTATTTTAAGTTGGGTTGCTATGTTTTGCAATAGAATTAATTACTGACAAATATACACTGTAGGGAAGGGTTCGGTGAAGAATGAGGAATAAAATAATGCCTGACAGAAAAAAATAGTCAAGGCAGCAATGTCCTAGGGGAGAAAGAAAGAGATGAGACTAAGTAAAAACAAAAAAGGATATTAGGATGGGTGATATTATTATTCAATATCCCTCTCTTACAGAAAATCAATTTTCCAGTTAAAATTTCTTTGAGGGTTTTATCCCCAAAGTGTGTGAGCACGGTTCTTCGGAAACAAGCTGAAACAAAATCCTTACTGAGCCCCAGGGTGGAAACGAAAGATTTCAGTTGATCTCTGGCAATTCTAGACTCTTGGAATCTTGCTTGGCTAGGATAACAGTATATAGTACACTGCATCTAGCATGGTAGAATATTCTGTCTTGGATCATTAAAAACCTTTTCTTATCATATTGCAAAATATGGAGAGGACTAAAGTGAGAATCCCAGCCATGGGAAACAGGAAGATCAACAAGCAAACTGAAGGCTTTTGTCCTAAACTATTTGTTCTTCTTCTGTCATTCCATCTGTGTAATGGTGTTCTGGCCCCAAGTAATTGCCCTGGGAATTTTACCATA